ATATTTTAAAGGCAGGTAAGGCAAGCAAGGAGTTGATCGAAGCTGCGCGTCTCGTCCGTTGTCAGTCCTGCGAAGACACTGCGCCACGTCCCCGTGATCATCCGGTAGGAAATAGTAATTTCCAGTATGAGTTCAATGCCATGCTAGGTCTTGATGTCACAGAAATGAAGGACCATGCAGGGAACAAGTACAGCATTCTCACGATGCTGGACATTTCGACAGGATTCCATTTGTCAGAGGTTGTCAAAGAAGGTGGAGGTATGCCAACGTCAGAAGCCTGTGCACAAGCTATCCTTCGCAGATGGATCAGTTGGGCAGGTTTTCCAAAGGCTGCAATCATGGATAGAGGTGTCCACAACCGAGGTGAGGTATCCAAGCTGTTCGCTTCGCACGGTGTTGAGATCTTCTACGCACCATTGGAAACCCCATCAGCCATTGGCAAGGTTGAAAGGCACCAAGGTATCTTGAAGGCAATTCTCAGGAAGACCATCCACGACATGGAAGCCGTTGGTCGCAATGCGTTTGAAACATGTTTGCACGAATGCACTTCCGTGAAGAACCACATGCAAAGAGTCCAAGGCTATTCTCCAGCACAATGGGTCCTGGGTAGGAACCCAAGAGTTCCAGGATCTGTGACAGACATGGATGAGGCAGGAAACTTGGGCATCTTGGAGAACAAGCTTGACCCTGCAGCAAGCTATCATCTGTGCCATGCATCCCGTATGGCTGCACAAAAGGCATTTATTCATTTGGATACAAGTTCCCGTGTCGCAAGAGCATTGACCAGGAATGCAGCAGTCCAGAATAAGAAGTCATTTGTGGTTGGAGACCTTGTGGTCTATCGTCGAGACACACAGCAAGGTGGAACCGTGTGGTCCACTGCTTCGCGTGTGATTGGCATCGACCCGCATAATGGCATCTGGTTGCTACATGAAGGTATTCCCATTTTATGTGCTGCTGGAAAACTCAGATCAGCCAATGAGAGTGAATCTTTGGCCTACTCTATTTTGAACAACATCCCAGTCTTCCCAGAGGCAGTGACATTGGGACAGCAGAAGTACATCCGAATGATGGACGAAGAAGCAAGCCCTAAGAAGGGACAGAAGAGAGAAGCACAAGCAGAAGATAAGACGGGCAAGGCTGCCCGATCATCTGCAAGCGCGAGTGGAAGCGCAGTCGCAGTTCCGATGACCCCCGGAGGCATTGGTGGTGATGATGAAGTCATGCTTGCATTGGTTGACAATGAAGACCATTGGAGAATCTCTGAGAACCATGCAATTCGTGTCCACAACAAGAGGAGATTCCATGATTTTCACCCGCTGCATGACGGAGATGTTCCGGAAGGATTCGGAGGAAGACGCGTAACCAGAAAAGTCTATGAAGACGGAAGTCGAATGACCAGCGAGTCCATGCCGGGCATGGATGAAGTTGATTCTCGCGCATGGACAGGTTTCACAATCTTTACACGGGTAAAACACCCGTTGATCGCCATGGCCGCTGCTGACGACACTGAACTCGATGCTGCCGAGTTTCGAGCCTTTGTGGCTCAACGCTTTGGAGAAAACAGTGAGACGCAGGTTGGCAAGGTGGCAAAGACGCTACAGTACGATCGATGCTCTCCCGAGATGCAAGCCCGCATCCTGGATGCACGTCGTGCAGAGTGGAGCAAATATAGGAGCTTCAATGCTGCAATGCCTATTCGAGGCAAGGAATTGGAAGAGTTACTTCAAGAAGGGCATGTTCCTATTCCTATGCAATGGGTAGATGTGGATAAGCAAGCTCATCTGACCGGTACGCCTGAGCATCGGCCAGAAAACAGATCCCGGTTAGTAGCTTGTGGAAATCACGAACAAGTGAGCCGTGATTCACAGGGTATTCGTTGCGATAGCCCCACTGCTGAGACTGAAGGACACATGTTGATTGCAAGCTTCGCATCAAGCCATCGTGTGACCCTGTATGCGGCAGATGTTTCTTCAGCGTATTTTCAAAGTCAGCCTATGACGAGATTGCTGTTGCTCAAACAGCCACGTGGTGGAATTCCAAGCCCGGATGTTCCACCGGATGCAATGTTGGTTGCACGCCTTCCGATCTATGGCACGATCGACGCTGGCAGAGGTTTTTACTTGAGGATGAATGGTGAGATCACCAGTGCCGGGTTGAAGTGCAGTCGCATTACACCTGCATTGTACTATTTGCACAATTCCAAGGGAAAGTTGATAGGCATGGTCGCGACACATGTCGACGACTTGTTGTATTGCTACCTTGACGAAGGCAAGAAGACAATTGAAGGTATCCTCAAAAGGTTCACGATTGGCAAGACAGAATCGGGAAGGTTCCGATACTGCGGACGTCAGTTCGTACAGCATGAGGACTACTCCGTAAGCATTTCTACAAGTGAAAACTGCAGAACAGTGAAGCCGATTGAAATCGACAAGCATCGGAAGCTGTCGGAAAAGGTGACAGAGAAGGAGTTGACAAGCCTCAGGAGCGTTGTTGGTAGTTTGGCTTGGGTTGCCCGTTATGGAAGACCAGACCTTTGTTACCGTGTGAATGAGATGCAGCGTGCATGTAGCGCAAAGGCAACAGTGCAAGACTTGAAGAATGCCAACAAGGTTGTTGAACTGGCACTTCAAGGAAGTGACTTGCAGATCACCTTCAAGAGTGATTGGATTGACTGGAGCGATCTGGCAGTTGTGACATTTAGCGACGCAAGTTTCGCAAACGAAGAAGGCTTCAAGAGTCAGCAAGGCCGCATTCACTACATAACGAATGCGAGCAGCCTCAAGGAAGGCAGTCACAGAATGCATCTGATCAGCTTTGGTTCAACTACCCTCAAAAGAGTGTGTCGTGCTACATTGCAAGCAGAAGCATATGCTCTGCAAACTGCAGTCGAACATGGAGACCGCCTACGATGCCTGATTTGTGAGTTGACCGGACGACTTGATGACTTCAAGAACTGGCATGAAGAAACCCAGAGGCGAATGGCACACGTGTACTACACGGATTGCAGGAGCTTATCGGACCATTTACTGGCAGAAGTTCCAAGAAAGGTACAAGACAAGAGGCTTGGCATAGAACTTGCCGCATTGAGGCAAGGAGTGTGGACTGTGAGTGGCGAGAAAACATCAGAGATCTACAGTCCCTATGGTGACCACCTGAGGTGGATTGAGACATCGAAGCAATTGGCAGACCCGCTAACCAAGAGCGTGAAGCCGGACTACCTCCTCAAGACACTGGAAAGTGGCCTTGTGAATGTCGAGAACAGTGGCGCATGCGAGAAGGGAGCCAAGAAGAAAGATGAAGAAGTCTCACCTGACTTGTTTTGAGAATTCGACATGGAATGGCATGGTTTACGGCCCCACGGGGAATAGAGTTGCTTGGCTGCCTTTGTACAACTTGAACTGTAAAGCCCGCAACACACCTGTAGATAAGACGGGTGTGAATTTCAGCTGTTGTAGCCAGGGTGTATTGCGTACAGTTGATGCACCGTCGCTGCTGTTTCGGCTGAACAGGGCCCTTGAGCTGATTCGCTGCTGCGAAAAGGAACTGTGCGAGATTCAAACTAGACTAGACCTCCCCCGGTCGACGCTCGCCGCGTCGATCGGCCTCTGAAGAGAGGCGGAGAAAGTCTTGGAGTTCTTTCGACGAGCAGGGACCTTGGAGGCGAGGAGTGTGTTCATGTGAAGACTTTAGTGTCAAAAATACCACTCGCCAAGGTGAGGTCACTCCTGGAAAAGGGTCGAGAAGATTGACAATAGGTCTTCTTCTGACGGTGGCGGGTGATTGAAGAACGCAGGATGGGAAGTGGCAAAGGCATAGAGAACTGCACAATGAAGAAATCTGCACCTATGGTCCCCACTCAACCCCCAACGTTGACCGAAGGGGCGGTTGGATCAATTCAGTCTTTCCACCCAAAACAAGCATTAAATGTTCCGCTACTCGTGTGTAGAGAATTTATGAGATCTTGATTCCTGCGGGTCTTGATTCTGTTCACCTCCAGCCTATCTTGGGACTTTGTTCTCAAAAGCTTGGGTCGCCATCGTTGGACGGCTTCCATACAAACGGCTGGCATTGGCTGGCTGTGACTGCTTACCACTTGTGCTACCACCGCATTCTCGTCCGCCCATGTCGGCCTCCAAATCAGATCGCACGGCGTGGGCGGTCCGCACGCGTCCGGCGTGGCGTGTGTCGCACCGGGCAGATCTCATGCACTTCGGGGGTCTCCCAGGTTGGTGTCGAGGAGATCTCTTGCGTCAACTGTAATTAGTAAGGCGTCCACGGATTCCTGATCAGTGTCCCACCCAATCGGATTGGTTGGGAGCTTGCTACCATGAGCCCAGACTCTGGGAAAAGGATCCTGTTTGATGTTGTTTGTTGGATTTGTTTCCAGCAGAAATCACAAATACATGCAAAGACTCCTCATTGATTCGCTACTTTCTTGGAGGTTCACTGAAAGACTGCCCCAAGTCCAACTTTCACCTGACTTGAAGCTCAAGCACGAGTGCTCCAGGGCGAGCAGCTCTTCTCCTTGCTGAGCTCTTTGGAACCCGATCTTTCGATCGAAGGCTTTCAGCAACTCCTGCGGGCAGCCGGCACCGCTCAAGGCGACCAGGAAGACTTCCTGCGCTGGCTACTGGAGGATCAAAAGATAAAGCAGTGCACAGGTGCAGTGCTAAATGAGGTCACCCAATTTGTGTGGGTGTGTGAGCAGGTTGAAAAGAACAAGCTGAGTGGAGACAGCACGCAGCCACCCAAAGCTGCACTCTCCAGATAGGGCAAACGCTATAACATGTTGGAAAGCGCTGGATTGACAAGTTTTTAGGCTCAGAGTCACAACTCACAAATACATATCTATCACATATCGTGTCATCAGATGTCATCGTGCAACGCATGTCCACACTACCCACATGACCAACATGTGTGGCAACAAGAAACATGAGTCCAAAGGAAAAGGCCTTTCACTGAGTGCGGACCCACGTACTCAGGTTAGTCCCAGTTCTTTCCCACTCACCGGCCTTTGACTCGGCCTTTGACTTCTTTTCCCGGTCAAAGCGTGGAACGCTCCGGATCTGAACGCCTGGAACGCTCCGCGGAACGCCGAACGGCCATGCCGAACAAGTCTGGGGATCCGGTGATTTTGGACCCTCGCGATGCCATGGCCGTCCGAGCGCTCGGTTTGGGGCTACCGTGCCCGTGGTGGACCGAGATCCGGTGGAGGTGGCGTTGCTCAAATAGGGTAAGTAAGACCTGTTCTGCTGCAAAGGAGTTATATTGAGTGGCATCCGATTTCTGAGCCACGTTGAGCCACGTAGGGCCGTTTTGGTGGCTGAACAAGCCCAGAGTCCGGTTGTCCAAACGACATAGCTTCATGCTTTGAACCGGATTCCACCGCCACAAGTCTACCGGGAAGGTAACCATTATATCTATTGTGGGCTACGAACAGACAATAGGACAGTGCGATTAGCTTAGGAGCTGGCGCAGTCACCTGGACGTATTGGTAAATAGAGGATGGTAGGCAGATCGAACACATGAAACTTGCTTCCAAATGTTCAGTCCAATGCGACTTGGTTTTAGCATGTTTGTGGACGCTTGTGCAGAGAACACCAGAGAACTCCACGTAGTTTTCTGTTGGAGTTCTTTCAGTTCGGTTTGGGCGACAAGGTCAGCAAGTGCCAAGTGAAGATGCAGCCGCCCAAGGTGGGCGGTCTGGGCCCGGGCCCGGATCCCCTCGGATCCCCTCAGTCTCGTTTATTTTCGTCAGAATAGACGTGTTCTCTCCGTTTGACCAAGGAAGCGACACCGAATGACACGGCTTTGGGGAAGAGATGGACAAACTCATGTAAACAGGTCTGACCAGTCTGATGGGAGCCTCCTGTCCAGCTCTGCGACGGTGGTGTGATTGTTCCGGGGTCGTTCGTGCGTCCCAGTACCGGAGATGATTCCGGTCAGAGCCAAGCACCAGACTAGCGGAGGAGAGTCACCAATTAGCCTGGCAAGCGGGTCTCTGAGTATGGGCCAACCGGGCTGGAGTCTTTGTTCATTTCGGACCCGAAGCATCCTGTAAGAACAGTGCAGTTACTGTATGATCTGATATGGCATTCTCAGTCCATCGATTCGTGACCAGGTTGATTCATTAATGCGTTTGATTGATTGTGAATTCAAGACCTGTCAGGTCAGTTTCGGGTGGGTTGCCTTGGAAAAGAAAAAACATTGGCCTCTACAGAGACACCCTCCGCCTGAAAACCAGTGACTTTGAACAATAGTCAGTCACCTGTCTTCTCAAGGCTCAAGGTTCTTTCAAGAAATTGGCCGTTATGAATCATTGTAAACCTATGAACGCCCCGAACTGACAATTGGGTGCAATTTGCTGCATGTTTTTCCTGCAACTCCACCAAGATCCTGCTGAACACGGACGACTTTGGTAGCTGGATGAAATCACCAGCTGGATATAGCTGGATGAATTTTCTCCCCTGCCGACGATGCAGCCTGCAGGGCGTGCCGACCACGCGGGAGACCTGGCGGCCCTTGTGGAAGAATCACAGCAATCCTTTCCAGTTTGCTTCGGCCTAAGACTCTTGAGATGGGGCGGGGAGGGTAGCAGTGTTGGGTTTTCGATGGGTTGGGAGGACATCACGTGGCGACAGTTCAGGAATACGAAACGATTCAAACATATTCAAACCCAGGTGTCCAAGGAAAAATACGCTATACAGTATAACCTGTGGGTCCCCACGGTCTGAATTTTGCAAATGGTGAGTTTCCGAATTGGTCAACAATGCCAGTTTGTGTATAGATCCTCCTTGAGTCCATGCAGTCATAGTTTGTCCCATGTTTTAGTGTGATCTCCAACCCTCTCACATGCCCATCGACACTGACACCCACTATAATTCCACACCTTCCACACCAATTGGAAGGGAATCAAAGGTGCTTTTGCACTCACTCATGTTCTATCATCTTCTATTCAATACTGGTGTTTGGCTGCTGAAACTGGCCAAGAAGTGTGAAAGGAGACATATCGCGAAACATTTGCAATCAGCGTAGCACACCCCACAAGACCCTATGCTGGTAAATTTCAAGAAGCTGTACCAGTCTACCTTGCCAGTTTCAGGTATACATCATGTATATCTCATGACGGACCTCATCTTACCGTCTTACCTAACCTATTCACCTCCAACTGCTTTCTGCTCCGGACAGCTCTCGAATCTGGATGAAGCGAACCTCGGAGGATCGTCAGTACTTGCAAGCCATCGAGCTCGCGCGTCTTCGCACCATGGAGAAGCAGCAAGATCGGAGGCGCCCGGTGCCCGACCGGGCGGACCCCGAAAAAAGGACCGGGACCGAGCCGAGCTCGATGATCATGGAAGACATCCCAGTGTTTTGTTTTCATGTTTTGGGATGCCAAAATGATGCCTGGGATAGTTATATAGTCAGTTGATGTCAGTTGTAGGTGTTATCAGATTTACGCAGTCAGGGTGAATTGGGAACCAATTTGGCGAGTTCGGGTCCTGGTGATTTGGAAATTTGACCGTTGGAAGACAGCAAGTAGGTGGTGAGTAGAAACATGTAGAAACCACCTACTAGCACTTGTTACTACTAGCTTCATGTTACTACTAGTAAGGCACCTGTTACTACTAGCGTGGCACTTGTTACTAGTAGCGAACCTTGTTACTACTTGAGTAGAAACTCTATAGTTGGTGTCATGACCGAACACCCAAGATGCGATTTGCAGAACGGAACATAGAGTGCATAGGTTTAACATGACAGACAGATCAGGAGCTGTTTCTATTCTTAGACTGGTGACATATTAAGGCGATTGACAGATGTTTTCCTATGCGGGAATCTTCAAGGAATCTACTTGAATCTACTAGGAAATTTGGCCCATTTGCTACCCAGGTGCCTCGTGATTTTTTTCGGATGATTGCGGATGTGTCCTAAAATATGGGAAGCTTCTGGAGGCGGATGAGTGTTCTCAACAATTCTCAACATATAATATCACATAATATTCAACGGCTAGCCATTGCAAAGGAAACAGAAATCAACAAGCATGGGTTTGCAGGGTTTGGTTTTGAGACAATCAGCTGAAGCTTTATTGGTATTTGGGGGTCCTAAGTTTATTTCAACCCATGCGAGATCTCGAAAAAGAACTTGTGCATGTGTTGCAGCTGTTGGACCAGAGGCCCGTGGATGTCAATACAAGAAAGCATTTTTAGCCAGACACGGCCTTGGACAGATACGGCACATCTTTGCCAGACGAAGTGCAACCTTGGAGTCCTTGGAGGTTTCTAGTTTGTGCGGCTATAGTTTTTGCAGCTTGTTTGTAATTGACTAGCCATGGCGACAGACTAACTGGACCTGTCAAGAAGACCAATATGAAAGAAAATCGTTGTCTCAAAGAAGCAAATGGCCAGCCGAGACAACGCGTGAGTGCAGACAAAAAAGAGTCCCACAGGGAATCCCTTTTCTCGTATATGTACTAATGTGTGAGGTGGAAGACTCAAGAAAAGCAGAACACTTTTCTTTTGGAATGCTGGTGTCCCTGCTTCCCTTCAAGAATGACTTCTCACAACAATTATATCGTTCTCTGAAAAGCACTCGTCACAGGGAACTGGCCGCCGAGCAGCCAAGCTGAGTTTTCGTTCTCCCACCCTGATGGCTTGTCGCAAGCGGGCGCAGCGGGCGCTTCAGATACACAGCGAGTGCGCCAAGAGAGCGCGGAAGGGCCCGTCTTCGAAGTTGTTTACAGACAGTGGCCTGGCTGTTTGTAACTGGATGTTGACGTGGCTGGGGTGGACGGGTGAAACATGTTGGTTGGCCAAAGACAGTGGCCTGGCTGCTCTGTAATGAGCCTGTGATTTGCTGGCTGGCTTGAACTGGATATTGGTATTGGATGAGCCATGTCCACTCCAGACACCAAGGGGTGTAGTTTGTTCACTTCTTCCATGGTTCAAACACAAAGATCACATTGGCCCCTTAACTGTTGCTCAAGACTCCACTGGGCCCCTGCTTCTAACCAAGTGTGTTCTACCACCAAGTTTTCACGGTCTGTGCTTGTGATGGCTGTGTTTGTTTGTGTGTGTGTTTGTGTTTGTGTGTGGTTGGGGGGGGGTCAAAATCCCAAACTTGTCGTGATTATTGGGTTTGATGACCCGACGGCCACCCATCCAAGCCCAGCCTTTTGGTTGGCTTTTGGCCCGAATCATCCGGAACATAGGTCCGGAGGTTTGTGAATCACTCACGACTCACGACACTCTTGAAGGAAGAGTTCTCTTTCACCGGCTTTTTGTTTTTTGTTTGGATCAGAAAATCACCACTCATTCACCACGCGTGTCGAGAATCACTTGCTTCCGAGGCACTGAAGAGAACTTCCTGTGTCACTACGGTGATGTGGTGGTCTCGGAGAGGAGTCGCTTCACCCTGTTGGAAGGCCGCGGCACGAGAGGTAAAAGATAGTGAAAGGAACCCTCAAGGGAAGCTAAAACGGCAGTTCAAGTCGTTTCACTTATAAACATTTGAGGTGATTTGTGTAAAGGGCCAGCATCACCCTTGCAAGAACAAAATCCCAAAGTCTTTCTCACCTGGATATTTGTTTCCTTGACCCTAAAGCATCAACTCTATATTTTTGGCTAGAAAAGAAGCTTCACGCACAGGACTCCAGCATCGTGCAACATCGTTTTTTGATATGTGGACTATCTCATTGGATCAGGAAACAGAAACAGGATCACCTTTTGAAACAAAAAATACGTTCCCAAGCACACTCAACGACACCGCAGGCTTGGGATCCGGTGCCTTTGGGCAAGTGGTCCGCTGCTCAGCCAATTCTGGAGATCAAGTGGCCCTAAAGATCCTCAAGCACAAGGAGTGGACAAGATGGAGCTGTGCTGAAGTATCTTTCCACTAATAGACATCCTGAAAAGGGGATCGAGATCAGGTTAGGTTTCCACCTGCGTTGGGGTTCTCCACAGTAGATTCGACAGAGAACTTTTTCACAGGTTGGAGCTGTGCCATCGATCGGCTGAGTCAGTCGGAGAGTCTGCAGCTGATCCGGTCGGGCAGTTGCATCGGCTGCTTCTGTTAACTTCGGAGTTCATGACATACTATCAGACGCAAGCACTCCATGTATTGCAATGTATGGTCTATTGACCTATATTGGTCCCTGTAAATAATATGCCAGTCCCAATCAGTCCCATTTGGATCCATTTGGGAGAGAATGCTCAAACCAGAGGTATTGTCTTAGAATCGTTGTTGGCAAAACATTTAGTTGCTTCCTCGTGTGAGGCTAGTCTTGCAGAGGGTGTGTTTTAATACCAAAAGGAGGAAATCCATCAGTGCCTTACGACTAGTCACTCCAATCCATCTGCCAGTCAGCCTCAGTCAGCCTCTGTTCATCCGGACACTGAAAGCACAGGACTTCTGTGCTGAAGTCAGCTTGGAAGCTGAAGAGGAGGCACGGATTCTGAAAGAACTTCAGCATCCGCACATTGCCACTTGGTTTGGAACACCCACCTGGACGGGGATTTGTTGGCTTGAATTGAACATGTTCAAGTCATTTCAAGTCCATAGGGTCGTGTCATGTTTACCGGTCAGGGTGTTAAGAAAATCATGTGTGTTTTTCACACCCTTGTCCTTTTCCCATGTACCCATGTAGGCACTCTGTTTGAAACCTAGAGGCGGCGAACATAGCATGACCGACACATCAAGCGTCGATGGCGTGGATGGCGAGATGACGGGCGGATGGATGGGGGGCAGGCGTTGGTAGGTTGACATGTTCGGGTCCTTTTCATTGCTTGTGGGGGTCAACATGGGTCAACCAGGGTTGGTTTTTGACCCGCTGGCAGCTTGGTGGCTCGTTCGTACCGAGATTTGGAGCATAATTAGCTCATAGCTTCCTTGAGTATGATGACTCGACATCACAAAAAAAAGAGAGAAGCAAGGGTAAACAACTGCCGAGTGCCTTTAAGAACCATTTGATGACCCACCTGCTGACATAGAGACCTTGGTTTATCAGATGATATCAGATGTTGCTAAAAACCGCTATCAGAAGTGGCTCCTTCTGTTCTGACCCAACGAAAAGAAAACACTGCCGGGACTGGAAGGACAGTTGTGTCTTGTTCGTCTTCGGACCAAGGTACGGATGTTGGATTTCTTCGAGTTCCAGGAGAGCCGGGGCGGGCAAAGCATGGGGTGCTTCACGGTGGGTGTTGACCTGGGTTTGTCCGTTCTGTAAACAAGCAAATCACTATTTTTTGGAACAAGGACCATCATCCACTGTGCCCTGGTTGACATGGATAGACCCTACACTTGTTGATCACAACATCTCCGGGTTCGGAGACGGGCCTCTTTAGTGTTTTACGTTTATTTTGGACGTTTTTCCCCAGATAGCGAAGCTATGGGGTTCTTACTTCTAATAACGATGAGTTGCCCGTGCGCGCTTTCGAGACAGGTTGCTGGTGCTGGTGCTGTGAGCTTGCACGTGTGGAGACAGGTTGCTGGTGCTGGTGCTGGGTGCCGGGTTCCGGTGCTGGTGCTGTGAGCTGGCTGTGCACGTGATGGAGACAGGTTGCTGGTCCCGGGTGCCGGTGCTGGTGCTGGGGGCCGGTGCTGGCCATGGTGCTGTGAGCTGGCTGACAGGTTGCTGGTGCTGGTGGTGTGACGAGTGAGCTGGCTGTGCGCGTGGTGGAGACAGGTTGCTGGTGCTGGTGCCGTGCCGGTGCTGGTGCTGGGTGCCGGGTGCTGGTGCGGGTGCGGGTGCTGTGAGCCGGTGCTGGTGCTGTGAGCTGGCTGTGCACGTGGTGGAGACAAGTTGCTGGTGCCGGTGCTGGTGCTGGGTGCCGGGTGCCGGTGCTGGTGCTGGCTGTGCATGTGGTGGAGACAGGTTGCTGGTGCTGGTGGGTGCCGGTGCTGGTGCTGTGAGCTGGCTGTGCACGTGGTGGAGACAGGTTGCTGGTGCTGGTGCCGGGTGCCGGTGCTGGTGCTGTGAGCTGGCTGTGCGCGTGGTGGAGACAGGTTGCTGGCGCTGGTGCTGGGTGCCGGTGCTGGTGCTGGGTGCCGGGTGCTGGTGCTGGTGCTGTGAGCCGGTGCTGGTGCTGTGGGCTGGCTGTGCAGGTGGTGGAGACAGGTTGCTGGTGCCGGTGCCCGTGCGCTGGTGCTGGGTGCCGGTGCTGGTGCTGTGGGCTGCCTGTGCACGTGGTGGAGACAGGTTGCTGGTGCTGGTGCTGTGAGCTGGCTGTGCCGGGTGGCGGTGCCGGTGCTGCACGTGGTGGAGACAGGTTGCTGGTGCTGGTGCCGGGTGCCCG